TGTATCAACAGCCAGAGAGAAGAACAGGGCAGAAATGAGGGCAACCATATTAAGCACGAGCCTCTTGTATAGCTTGGGCAAGATACTGTCTCCTGGGACCTGCTTCCTCAGCCATAAAATACAGAGTTTTTCTCTACCACATCACTTTCCACCTTACCAAGAAAGCAACAGTGGTCATGCCCTACCACCTGGAGTCTTGACCTGAAAAAGTATTTCTATTTGTTCTACTCAGAAGCTCCAAGTTTTATGCCCCTTAGGATTTACAATGCCTGAGCACCAGAATATGGATGGCTATGCAAGAGAGCTCAGGGGGGTTCTGGGAGTGTTTCTCTTTGTCCTCCGCTGTTCCCAGTAATGCATCAATGTATGGCCCAGAGTTTAGGCCAATTAAACAGAGGTAGAAGCATCCAGAAGTTGAGAGTGACAAATAAAATGTACAGATGCTATTATTTTATTATTTAGCTCATTTAATTGTTGGGCCTCTAGCACAGGGACTTTTTCCTCATTTTGACAGTTTGTCTTCTAAGAGAGGAAGATCACCTATGCCCTTGTTGGCTTGCCACAAGGGCTTTGATGACATGAATACTGTTGATGGCTTTGGCAATAACCATGGACAAGCTGTTCTATTTTCCCATACCTGAATCTTGGTTTTGCCCATCTGTTTATGTCAGCCTTAGTAAATAATTGGTTAATCCATCCATGGGTCCTTGCTGGTACTAGGGCATGATGAAAGCTGAAGAAAAATGGGAGCAATCCCTCTTAACCAGGTCTCTTTTGACACCTAATGATGACTATGATAAATGGCTTACAAGTGACTTCGCCTATCTACAATTAATCAACACATCCCATGGTATAAGTTCAGGGCTTACTGGGGTACAAGGTCATGGGCCTGCCCTGACAGCACATCTACATAAGCCTAATCCCACTCCTTTTTATTGATTCTACAGATTTTGGATGAGACAGTGGGATCTCTGTCACTCAAAGCAAGTGAGAATGGCTTCCATGAGAGACTTAGCATCATGGGGATGCAACCTAGTCTTAGCAGAGCTGCTACAGGCAACAGTGTGGGGAAATTCCAGATCACAGCTCTGCAGAGGTCACTGGAAAGACAGCAGAGAGGTTTCAGCTCATGACTCCTAGAAAGAAATCAGAGAAAAGGAAATATGGAACTCCTGCCTAAGCTCAGAAACAATCTGAAGCACAACCTTGCAGATCCAGACTAAAGCCCATTATAGCATGGCACTGGGGCTGGTTTCTCAGGTTCCTTTCCTTTTCTTTTGAAGTTATGGCCACTTTTCTCATTCTATTTCCATTGTACAATTTCCCATCACCAAGTTCCCCACTTATCTGCCATTCGTTTGGGCATCTGTCATCTAAATCTACACCTTCGCTGCCCCTGTCTTCACCAGACTGACAGCTGAAGCTGCAGATGGCCTCTTTTTCCTCCCTTCCTCTACAAGACTATTTTCAGACAACGCCCCTGCAAAACGTAAAGGAGAAAGCTGCTGAATAAGGGGCTGATGTACTGCTTCATTTCCTGAAATACTTGTGGCCACAGAAACAAACCAAGCTGCTCAGGGAAGGGGGCAGAAGAAAGGCTGATAAAATATTAGAAGACCTGTACCTGTTAGTATAGCACAGATGCCATGAGATGCACATTAGTGCTTATTCGAGAACATAGCATACACTGATGTTGGGCTGCAAGGTTTCTGCATGTTACTTCGAGTCTGGAATTCCAGGGAAATTTTTAAAGGTCCATTAATCCTTGGCATCTCCATTGCAAACTATATTACGCTGATTACATCCTTACTCCGGGTCTTCTTTGCAGGGGGGAAAAAAGAAGTTTTCATTTGGAAAGGTGTACGATAACTGCATAAGACCATCCAGAATCTGTCTATGAAGGTCAGAATTCCCAAATCAGACAAACCTCTGTTTGGCAATGGAAAAACACCTGTGAAGGTGCAAAAAGGATGTCTAACCAGCTCAAAACAGCCCTTTCTCTTTCTAAATTCCAGGTAAGCTCAATTGATACTGAAGCAAGCTCCAGCACAACACAATTTCTAGATGTACCTTTCTGACAGTAACCTGATAAAGGATATACTTTATTGCTAGGAGTAGGAAACCAGCATTCTAGGAGCAGGAAAGGATTCACAGGTTAAACAAACTAGAACTATGCCTGCACTGCTCTGAAAATGATCTTGTGACCAAAGAGTATGCACCACATTTACATCCTTTCTCTGTATCTGCCTTTTAGAAAGCCAGTTGGATCCCTTCATTATCATACTGGTTCACCCAGTGACTCACCAAGTGTGCCCAGGCATACAGAGTACTGAGGAGTTGGGAACATGTGCTTGGGCCACACCTGAGTTGCATTTATAAGCTTACAGTCTGCATCAGTGAGAAACTTGACCTTGGGATAGCTTCAGTCTATCTAGACAGAACCTAGAGTGTTGCATAAATTTAGTAGCTAACTATGTACATCTCTGCTTTGACCTTCTTTTGACTGATAGCTTCATGGCAACCACAGAGACCTCCTACCTTCAGTAGCAAATCTATCCTGACCTATCCTAAAGGATACACCTTTTCGTTTTTTGTACTCTGTGGGTGGAAGAGATACAAACAACCTGCTTTCCAAATTACCCCAAAGTTTGCCATATTCTTTTTAGTTCATTTCTCAACTGGAGTTGAGAACCACACACAAGCAGTTTTGGAGTCGTTGTTCTTCATCGCATTTGCCCCCAAGCTCCAATGGAACTGCAAAGCAGCAGTCTCCGTTTTACAAGACACTTGCAAGACACAGCACCTCTGCAACATATACTGAAACAAGATAAACTGCACTGAGAAGAAAAAGTTGTGCAGATTAGATGTCTGTTCATATATTTGCCTACTCTTTAATCACTAAGAGCATCTCAATGCATTTCCAAACCACTGTCATCAATGTGTGCTATTCTTTCCTTTTAACCAATGAAAAAATAAAGTTTGATCCAAACTTCCTTAATAGCCATAATATAAAAGCTTGATGCTTGTGGCAGACAACGGACTTGAAATCTACTTTCTGAAGTTTCTAGAATCTCATGGGATTTCCACATAAGATGTAATACTATATTGAACACTTCAGCCCAGCAACACTGTAGCAAGACAAAGCTTTTCAAGCCAGTGGAAGCTGCAATTATCACTGCATTGCCCTCTCTCATTAAGATGCCAACCACCGAGATTACCTACAATCAAAACACCTGCTAGTCTGATCAGCTCATGAGATGCGTTGGCTTTGCTATTGGTAGGAAAACTGGAGCACAAATGCCACAGCGTGATTCTGTTGGTAGAGGACTCTGTCTGGAGAATAAATAAATCCACTCTAGGAAAAGTACATCTTAAACATCTATTCCAGTGTCCTATGCTGATATGCAAGTAGGGACTCCAAAGGAAATCCCCATGATTTAAAAAAAAAAAAAAAAAAAAAAAAAAAAAAAAAACACCACAAAACAAAAAGGCAGCTTTATGGAGATTTGTAAAGCTCTGCAAGACCTCGTGTTTTGTAAGAAGATCTATAAAACCAAGAATTAAAAAAGAGGAAGGAATTGGAGAGGAGAACGTAATGTAATTGTCTAATGCACATCTTTAATGAACTAAAACACATCCTCCTCACAAAGGGCTCGTAAGGGAAAAAATGGGATCTCTCATATACACCTTCAATCTTGCACTGAATTATCTGCGGCAATTGGACCCACAGCTTCAACCGAGAGGGTCTTATAATGAGGAAAAGATATTGTAAAACCACTGTATGCAAAAGCACCCAATTAATTCAAGAGCATCATTGTTATTTCATTTATATGGCACCGTAGGGGTATGCAATGCTTTACAGACGATTAGGGGCTATAAAAGTTTACAGAAAAGATGAAGCAGAATGCAAGGAGCTGGCAACCAACTGGAGTACAAGTGCTGACTAAAAGCTCTCACCATGGTGTTTATGGTTTGTTTGTTCACGTGGTTGTGGTTTGTTGTTGTGTTTTTGGTTGGTTGTTTATTTTTTGTTTTGTTTTAAGGTTCAAGGAGTGTTTTTTGGCAGCAAGCCCCTTTTTCAGGGAGGCAGGGACCATTTAACAAGATCGTTGGGTCATTGCCAAGGATTCAAAGTTGGAAAGCATACTTATTAAAACAGGTCTGAAGAAACCGAATAAAAACACCCACAACAAGGAGCAGGGAGACAGATTTGAGACAAACCATAAGTCATTTCCTTAGAACTCAATGCTCCAGTAAACTGGATGAGCAAATAGAGACTGCATATACCCAGAACTGACTGGCTGAAGCTCCAACTAGGTGAGTTGTATTCCTAGGTGAAGAAATACATGTATAAGATACGGCCTGTTACTTATGCTCTGTATTCGCAACTCCAGGATACTCCTAGATTCTCAGCAGGCTTTCAGCTGGCAGTAGAACAGCAGTGACCAGGCAGCATCTTTCCACCAGCTACACAGAGTACAACTCAAGCTTCCAAACAGAGATTTGTTAATGGATTCTGGACAGGCTTTTGTATGGCAGCACTAAAATATTTCAGGAACAGCTGGACCTTAAATGTGCCCAGAAGCTATACAGTAAGAACATAGCAGCTTTCTCAAGTAACACCTACTTTTCTCATAGCAGCGTATGACACCTGTGCTCCATAAATGGCTGCAAGCCAGGTTTTTAAGGGTTTTTCTATATCACTTGTGATCTCAAAGTAAGTAATTTTGTAAAGTTCTTGTGTTGCACTTCGACAACCCACAGGAAAGGTCTTTGACAAATCTGTTGATTTTTTTTTTATTTTTTTTTTTATTTCCTCACCCTGATGTTCTTCCTTCTACCACTTTTACCAAAATGGTCTCTGAAATTTTGAACAAACTATAAATCAAGAAGGACTGGAAAGCTATAATTCCTTCTTGTTGTTGTTATTGTTAAGTAGAAAACTATACATCAACAAAAGGTTTGTTAAAAATATTGAATGTAAAATTACACCGTTTTTTAATAGGATAGAGAGGGGGAAACAGGTCTTCCTCCTACACTTCAAGCAATTTTGTCTTTTCAAGCCTAAGAATTTTGTGCTCAACCCCTACTTTTTCAGCAGCCCAGGAGCAAATCCTGAAACAATTCTTGCATTACTTTCCCCCAAAAACGTTGTCCTTTTTATTGTTCTTCTCCAACAGCTCCCACCAGCAATGAGACATCTAATGCTTTGGGATTAGCATTATACACATTGTACAAGATGGCCTCTGGACTGCAGTTTGCTGAGCTAAAAAAAAATAATTCTAGTAGCATTTCTGACCTTCAGGCAATTAGCTTCTCAAGCAGTTATATTTATGGAAAATTGCACATGGATCATCTCTATCTTTCCATTGAGATGCTAATGCCTGTTTAAACATATCTTGTACTACGATAGCTTATTCCTCGTTCCTGTACAATATAAAGCACCTTTCTACTGATTTTGCTGTGTCTATGCTATGGGAAGTTACACTGCAGTAACTATTGCAATATGTAGTAGGACAGATTGAAAGATTTCTGGTTGAAGCTACTGGTAAAGCCATTAATTTTGTGGGGGAAGGAGGAGGAATTGGGAAAATGCTAGGTTTTTTGCTTAGAGCAGTGTTTTGTGTGTTTCTGAGCATGTGTTATTCAAATAATAAAAAGCAGCAACAGCAAACATATTGCCTAACCTTTCTCCAGCCTTCCCTTAAACAATGCTAAATTCTGTCCTTCTGTGGCCCACGCAGTCAAATATATAGCTAAATCAGCTTTTCATTCCCTTGGACAGGGTCCACAAGCAGTGCTGCTGAGTGCCACCCCCAGCCAAGGCTGTGTGCCCAGCTCTCAGGAACAGCGTCTGTGGCTGCTTCTGGACTGGCAACAGCAGCTCCCTGTGAATATTCACCCTTCTCAAGTGACTTGGACCACTTTCCTGCTCCAGAAAATTAAGGGCAGTAATGTAACTGTTTCTAGTCCAGGCTAGAAATGCCTGTTCCATCTTCCCACCTTGATCCAAAACACCAAATACAAGATGCTCCCAACCTAGTTACTTACTTGTACGTCCCTGCTTTTAAGTGATGCACACAGCTCTTCAGCTGACTCATGAACCTAACCTGGGACTTGCCTTCTGACACAGGCTGTAGCTTCACTGTTATCCACAAGGAACTCCTAGAAGCTCCATACTGAGTTTCCTTGGAAACAGAGTTTGATCAGTATAATGCTCCATGGCACTCGACCATTCGTCACCATGGTGGTTATAAAAATCCCATCGGAAGAAAAGCCTTCAAGCTTTTCTTTACACCATTAAAAAAAAATACCCAGATACCCATCCTTTGATTCAACAGTAAAGCAAACAAAAGACTACATTAGACTAATCGGGACAATAATGTTAAAAAGGTGATGGACCTAAATCTAAATTCTAGCTCCAAACGGGAGAAGATGAGATCTGAGGTAACACTCTTGGGGCCTGCAGGCCTACTCGATAATTGCTATCAATTATCAAAAATTGGTTTTCAACCTTTTCTCTTATGTGGCAACTAAAAAATTTCCTACAGTTTTAACACAGAGGTATGGAACTGAACAACATGAGTTTTAGCTTCTTGAAATAAGCTTTCCTTAATTACTTCTCTTGGGCTTGCCTGCATCTACACAATACAGGTTGGAGAACACAGAGGTATGGGGGAATTATGGGACAGCTTATAAATAAATGGGGTTCATTTTCCAACTATGGCCCCTCCTGTGATTAAGGTTATTTTTCTCCTCAACCTCTTGATTCAGGCGTGGAGAAAATGCATTACAAAGCCATTAGACAAAATAGTGTCTCGGAAGTTATTTTTTTCCCCTCATCTTTTGTTTGTCATTAACAGTCTTTTCAGTAACTATGATTATGGCAACAGCAGGCCACGTGACAGAAAGTAATGAAAACAAAGAGCAGAGGGGAAAGTTACTGCACTAAAACAAACTCTGTTATATTGCAGATTATATTACAAGTGAAAAGCACATGACTGCATTGCCTAAGACTATGGAGATACGACGGGAGCCCTTCTCAGTCCCAAGCTGTTCATTAGCATGGAGATTTTGATTTAATAACTGTGATCAAAATCCCACTGAATATGCTGGTCATTATGTGCCCAAACTGAAGACGCTCACCAAGGTTTATGATCTTTGAGTAAATTTAAGTATTCATTAAAAGGACCAGCTAGTATATCAGTTACATAAGGAAAGCATCCAAATGATACTGTTGTCTGAAAAAGTCCTGACCTTTCAGAAAGCAGTTTATATAGCTGTGCTAATGAAAAAAATTGCAGCTAAAGATGCTAAGGAGCTAAACGAGCATCTGAGTGTAACACATTAAGGAGTGACCACATTCCATATGCAAGAGTACGTAAGTCACTCTGAAAGTAATGCCTCTTATTCATTTCTTCTTTGGGAACTATGACAGCTACAAGGCGCACAGCAGAATAACACTATTTGACAGAGCAAATTCTCAACTAAAAAGAACTGTTTTTCAATACAGTCACCACTGTTAGCTATGCGTTTTCAGCTGCAATGAACAAAAGCCTGCATGCCACACAAAATCTGCATGGCTATCCAGAATACGGCTTGTCTTTCACGTTGCTGTCACTACTGCTGAGACACACCACACACTGCCTCACTGCATTCACACACGCTGTCTCCAGGAACATCCAGCAAACGTTTTTTTCTGCATGGAAGAATTCAGTTCCACACCTTCACTCCATACATACGTCCACATAAGATACCTTTTTGTCATACTGCCCCTCTGCTGCCATCTGCCACACAGCAGCAAAATTTAAGAGAATACTGTTGGGAAGGTTCAACCTGTACTGCCATCCCACCAACATCTACCTCTGTCATCGTGGGCCAACATAATGAAATAGAAGGCATTACTTTTGGAGCAGCCCCATTGGCAGTCTGGATGTGAGTCTGTATTTTGGAGATTGATATATTTGGAGGTTTAATAATACGGAAATAGATTATTTCATGCCAGTTGAGACAAGCACAAGGAAGAGATCATGATGTGTATAAAAGATCACTAGCTGTCCAGTGAGTGCTTGGCTTGTACTCTAGAGCTGGATTCATTGAAGAATCATGGCAAACGAGGCTGAAAAGGAACCAAACAGACCATCATCTTGGGTCCATTTCATGTGACAGGCACTCTTCTTGATGTATAAACATTACGCTGTGGCAGCTTGGCAGCTGACAAAAGTTCTGGTAAAAATGCACCACCAAGATGGACAAGTGGAGTAAAGACACTGGCTATCAGACTGACAGGCACTGTTCTTTAAAATTTATAACAAGATCTGAGACTTTTATGCTGCTGATGGCCTTCACTCACTGTTTCTCATTCGCTATTTCTAAAGTGAAAACTGACTAGCTGTAGGATTTCAGTGGTGACATACAGATGTAAGAGAATCAGACAGTACAATGCCCAAATGGCATATGGTAACTATATGGAATACGGAGGAGTTCCTCCTCTTGGACATCATATCTAGCTGGACTGAAGCAATGTAAGTCAAGTACATTCTTAGCTAGGTTTTCAGGAGAACGTGACATCCAGTTAAGCTTCAAAATAAGCAGGTAATTTCAAAGAAGCTGAACTATATTCAAATTTTAACCCTAACTAGGACCTGTTTGATGCTGATTGGGCACATTTGAGGGTAAGTACTAAACTGAAGAAGCCAAGCACTTGAAAAGCTGCAATGTATTTGCCAAGTCTAATGTTTACAAATTATGCATAGCAAAATCTTATACATATTAGCACTGACATACTCCAGTGTTTTAAATGCAAGTTACCATTCAGAATAACATGTGATGTCAAGACATGACAGTAATACCATTATCCTCTTTACAATAGCTGATGGCAATTAACTGCCTGTTTGTGAATTGAAGAATGTGTGCAAGAGGAAACTCATTATGGCCTTGCTGCATGAGAAGAACTGAAGATGGCGTAACATAGCAAGGCCCTCATCCACAAGACCTTACACTCTTAATGGATAAAACAATACTGACCAACTGTTCAATTCCTACTTCCAAAGCAGGATATCATAACAGCTGGAAACAGCAGAAATAAGTTCACTGTCAGCATTCTATCATCATAAATATCACAGATTCATCAGCTGGCATAGTACTGATGACTGGTTTTCCTGCCCAGCGTGGCACACATGGGACAGTTCACTCTAAATAAGAGGAGTAAGTCTATTCAGTCTATGCCAAGCTTGGCATCCTAACAACTACACAGTTAGCAACAGAAAGCTGCAAAGAGTCACTTTTAAATTAGCCACCTTTTGCAGGGCAAAGGTAAGTGCTCTAGTTATGTTAAACCTTTCTTTCAGTGCTCTTATAGACTGAGCATTGATGAAGGCTGTCTCATGCATTGGATCCAAGCTATAATTCCCAAAAGGTTGCAGCAAGCTCTTTAAGAGGGATTATGTGACATTCATTTTCAAGTGGCTGGGATGAAATCAATGGCTGGAAGCCATCTTTGTATCCTACTTTTGAGCACTGATGGTCCACTTCTAAATGTGGCTAATTAGGCCCATTTCTAAATGCAAGGAGATAAAAACTAAGATTCAGCAATGTATATAAATTATTAAGGAGAGCATCCAATGCTGGTAGATAAAGTGTGGGCAAAAATTAATCCTAAGCCAGCTCTATTGACAAGCATCATTCAAGTAGATATCCACCAACAAATATGTGCCAAGTGAAGCTTGGGTTATTTTTCGTACTGTTCCACTTGCATAATGCAAGATTTGAATAGAGCAAACATTTTCTAGTAAGACGTATTTCTTTCAGAACTAAACACCAAATGGCTTTATCACAAGCTTTTTTTGGATCTGATACACTTCACGTCATTCCCTTTTTTTTGCTGCACTAAAGTGAATGAGGAAAGCCATTACAATATCCTGTTACTTAGAAGACTGAAGTTTTCTCCATTCCACATACTGTTCTACAGCCCCAGCATCATTTCAAAGAATGTCTAATCCACAGAGTCCCAAGTATATTCAACTACTACTCACAAGATTTGACCTTCAGTTATAAGCTTCATTAAGCTCTTTTAGTTCTTGCAGGATTGGCTTCTTGTCTAAGCGTTGCTTTCATAGAACCATAGGATCACCAAGGTTGGAAAAGACCTCCAAGATCATCCAATCCAGCCACCTACCTCCACCAATATCTCCTCGCCAAACCACGTCCCTTAGTACAACGCCTAAACAGTTCTTGAACACCTCCAGGGATAGTGACTGAGCCATC